AGAAGGGGGGAGTGGGGGGGGGGGGGTGGGGGCGTGGCTGAGCGTGGGCACCTGCATTGCTCCTTCCCCATCCTGGGATGGACCCACAGTGTAACCACCCTGGCTTGGTCCTGATCCAATCCCTGAGCAGCTTGGTTTGCTCCCCAGCTTGGTCCTGAGCTGGTCCTCGATCACCCTGGCTCGATCCCTGGTTTGGCCCTGATCCAGTGGCTGGGCATCCTGGCTTGGCTTGGTCCCCAGCTGGTCCCCAAGGACACTGGTTTGATCCTTGGCTCAATGCTGTTCCAGTAGCATAACATCCCAACTTGGTCTCCAGCTTGGTCCTGATCCACTCCCTGAATACCCTGGCTTGGTCCTCAGCTGGTCTTTGAGCACCCAGGCTTGGTCCTGATCCAGTCCCTCAGCACCATGCCTGGTCCTCAGCTGGTCTCTCAGCACCCCAGCTTGGTCCCTTGGTTGGCCCTGATCCAGTCCTCAGGCACCCTGGCTTGGTCCCCAGCTAGTCCCCAAGGACCTTGGCTTGGTCCTGATCCAGTCCCCAAGGACCTTGGCTTGGTCCTGATCCAGTCCCCAGGCACCTGGGCTTGGTCCTGATCCAGTCCCCAGGCACCCTGGCTTGGTCCTGATCCAGTCCCCCGGCACCCTGGCTTGGTCCAGTCTCCAGCACCAAGGGCATTCAGCTCCAACATATTGTCTTGTCTCTGATGTGGGCACACGGGAAGACAGCAGCACTGGGACCAGGACACTGCTGGCCTGGGGTCAGGTGGTTGTTCCCATCCTTGAGTGTCCCCGGGTTTTGGGATGTAACCACTCCTACAAACACAAGCTCCCAGTCCCACCCCATCCCAGCTGCACCCAAGTTGCCACAGTGGGTGTCCCCATCCTTCCCACCCTCCCTTGGCATCGAGGGATGTGAGCAGAGGCTGAAGGCTCCAGCCTGGCTTTGTTTGAAGAACTTTCAGGCTCAGCATCAATTCTTGAAGCACTTTGGGGGTGTGGGTGTATAAATAAGCCCTGGTGCATCCCCCATGGGCAGCAGCACGGGGGGAGCAGGGCTAGAGCTGACATCCCATGGAGAGATGCCTGAAAGACTCCCCTTCTTGAAGGAAACCTGGGTGCTGAGGTCCTGGTGAGTGTTCTCTGGAGTGTCCCCCCAGAAAAAAAAAGGGGTTTCTGGGGGGTCCTCTGCATCCCATGGAGTGGTCCCGTGGGATGGGGCAGGTGCTGGGGCCAGAAGTGCTTGGGGTTGGTGGGTGCCCACCCAGGAGGCATGAGCACCCTTAGGTGCCACGAGCTCTTAGGGACAGGTCTGGAGGGGACATTTTGGATTTCCCCCTCAACCAGGTTTCCTTCCAGTCTTCAGGAATCCCACACCCCCTGCCCGGCTTCCCACCTCATCACCACAGGGTCCTCCCACCCATGGCAAGTGGATTTTGACGGGAAAATGGTCTAACTAGGATTTAACCCTGGGATGTTCCAGCCCTCCTGTCAGCAAAGGGCTGAAGGGACAGGAGGGGACACAGAGAAGGACACTTCCCTCCTCCATAACACAGCTCGGGGGCAGCACCCACCCTGTGGGGCTGGTGGAGGGGACAAAACCTGCTGGAGAGAGCAGGTTTGCAGCCATGATCAGCGCCCTCTCCCTGCCTCAGTTTCCCCCTCAGCAAGAAAAGGCTGATCACCCCCGAAATGCCTGAGCACCCACGACCATCACCTCTGTTCCCACAGGCAGCTTTTCCTCCCGGTGAATTGAAACCCAAGCCCCAATCTGAGTCAGCATCTCCCATCAGAACAATGAGATTTCGGAGTCACGTGTTTTGACTGATTTTTATCCAGTGGAGGAGGGAGGTTCTGCTGTTGGTGGCACCTTCTGGGCTGATGGTTGGTCCCAGAAGAAGGGAAACAGCATCTCTTTGCTTTTTAAAATGCCAAAAGGGAAAAAAAATGCCTCTTCCCTCCCCATCTTGGCTTAGCAGGGGGCCACATCCTGCCTTCCTGCCTGGTGGTGCCTGGATCTTTTCCAGTCCTGGGAATGTGCCAGGTTGAAGCTGTGGAGTGGGGCTGTGTTTCCACCCCATTTCTTCTGGGTGAAGCCCCAGGTGGGGGTACCCACATCCCATGGGGAACCAGGAGCCCAGAGTCTAGGCTGGATTGTGGGGTCCCCTCAAAGGACCCCACGGATCTGGATCCAAGTAGGATCAGAATAAACCTGGAGCCACATCCCTCTTTTTGGAGGGAAACCCACTGGCAGGGAGCTGGGATCCCTTCCTTGCTCTGTCCTGGGACAAGACCCTTCTTCCAGGACAAGCCCCACCCCAGGGAACTGGGGATGCTTGGGGAGAGAGTTGCCACCCCCCCCCGCTGCTCTGATTAATTTTCCTTTCCCTGCTCAAGAT